CAAAGTGCTGGGATTACAGGCGTGAGCCACTGCGCCCGACCTATTTATTTTTTAAATATAGAGACAGGGTCTGTCTGTGTTGCCCCGACTGGAGTACAGTGGTTATTCACAGGCATGATCCCACTACTGCAGATCTCCATGACCAGCACAGAAGTTCTGACCTGCTGTTTCTGACCTTGGCTGGTTCACCCCTCCTCGGGCAACCTGGTCCCACACTACTGGGAATTCACCATATTGATGCTGAACTTAGTGAGAACACCTGATCTGCATAATGCACTATAGCCCAGAATAGCTGAAATCATCCACCCGCCTCAGCCTCCCGAGTAGCTGGGACTACAGGCAGGTGCCGCCTTGCCCTTGCAGGACTCTTAATCACATGGTGTTTGCTGGGCAATCAAAATGTAATTCTAGATCTAGTAGAAAATGCCCTGGCCTTGGAGTCAGACAGACCTGCTATCTGGCTCTGCCACTTACCAGTTGTATGACCTTGGGCAAGTCACTTAAACTTTCTCAATTGTCTTGCCTTGTCTATGAAAAAGGGATGATAATCTATAACTTGCATAATTATATTGAGGGTTAAATGAGATAAAAGATACAAATAATCTTAGTGTAATTTAAGGATTCAATGAATATAATTGTTAACTAATCTGAGCCAAGACAAAAGGCAGAATTTTGTCTTCATTCAGGGGCCGGGTGCAGTGGCTCACACCTGTAATCCCAGCACTTTGGGAGGCCGAGGCGGGCAGATCACTTGAGGTCAGGAGTTTGGGACCAGCCTGACCAACATGGAGAAACCCTGTCTCTACTAAAAGTACAAAATTAGCCGAGTGTGATGATGCGTGCCTGTAATCCCAGCTACTCAGGAGGCTGAGGCAACAGAATCATTTGAACCTAGGACGCAGAGGTTGCAGTGAGCCGAGATTGCACCATTGCATTCCAGCCTGGGCAACAAGAGCAAAACTCCATCTCAAAAAAAGAATTTTGTTTTCCTTGCCATTCTTACTTGGGCATTTGGATCTGGAAGTGAAGACAGTCCAGTATAATTTGATTTGTGTTGTTCTTCCCTCAGGTGGTTACCTTGGTCAATAAGAAGGTAGCTTATGGGGGCATAAATGATATAACCCAAATGTCAGATGTGGCCTCTCTGCCTCATTATTTTTTTTTTGAGACCAAGTCTGACTCTGTTACCCAGGCTAGAGTGCAGTGGTGCCATCTTGGTTTACTGCAACCTCTGCCTCGTGGGTTCAAGTGATTCTCCTGCCTCAGCCTCCCAAGTATCTGGGATTTACAGGCACCTACCACCACGCCGGATAATTTTTTTGTATTTTTAGTAGAGACGGTGTTTCGCAATGTTGGCCAGGCTGGTCTCAAACTCCTCACCTCAGGTGATCTGCCCACCTTGGCCTCCCAAAGTGCTGGGATTACAGGTGTGAGCCACTCTGGCAGCTTTTCTGCCTCTTTAAGATCCAAATGCAATGGGCTTGAACCTCAATATTCATATTTCCCGACTCATGTAGGTGCGAAGTCCTACACAAGTTTTTGCAAGTTCCACAAGGGCTTGTGGTCTCACAGTTACCTCTGCTTCCAGTCTCCTTTTTCAATTGAGACCTAATAAAGCACATTGCTCAACTCCCTACTCATGCACTCTCACAATTCCCCTCTCTCAAAAAGCATTCCTGGGTATAATAGCCCTTCCTGAAGCCTTGAGAGTCACATAGGATCGTCACGTCCTATGTGTAACAAACAACTCATCCCATTGTAGGCATTCCACTGCTGAAACACTCTTGCCAATATACCATGGGAGAGTTTCTTCTGACTTTTTACCTATGTAGCACCTATCCTTACATTGATTTTGTTACTCATCTTTTTCCTTTTCCCCTCCAATCTCTATTAACTTGCCCTCCCATTTTGTCAAGTGAATTCCAAATTCTCCTCCCCACAACCCTCCCACACCCAACCTTTTTTTTTTTTTTTTTTTTGAGATGGAGTTTTACTCTTATTGCCAGGGCTGGAGTGTAATGGTGCAATCTCGGCTCACTGCAACCTCTGCCTCCCGCTACCCCTAATTTTTTTGTGATGGAGTCTTGCACTGTCGCCCGGGCTGGAGTGCAGTAGCACAATCTAGGCTCACTGAAACCTCTGCCTCCCAGGTTCAAGTGATTCTCCTGCCTCAGACTCCCGAGTAGCTGGGAGTATAAACACCCACCATCACGCCCGGCTAATTTTTGTATTTTTAGTGGAGAGAGAGTTTTACCATGTTGGCCAGGCTGGTCTCGAACTGGCCTCAGGTGATCTCAAAGTCCTGGGATTGCAGGCATGGGCCATCACGCCCCACCTACTCCTACCCCCCTTTTAAACATAGAGAGCAAATTCTTCTCCCAAAGTTACATATTCACACTCATCAATTGAGGCCCCAAGCAGGACAAAAGGACCTTCTGTGCATTGGGATCTGTTATTCCTGGAAGAGTGTTGTGGTTTAAAAATAGCACTTTTTTTTCTGTTATATGAAGCACAGTGTCTCCTATTTATCGAATGCTTACTGTGTGCCTAGCACTCTATCAAGTCCTCTGCAGTAGCTCGTGTTCTCATTTGATCTTCCCAACAACTCTGAGAAGCAGATCTTATTATTGCTCTTTCTACAAATGAGGAATGGGTGTGCGTGCAAGAGAAATGAGGTAATTGGCATAAGATCACACAGTAAGCAAGGACTGAAGACCAGGTCTGCCTGGCCCCAAGCCTGTGTGTGCCCTCTCTAATTTACTACACCACCTTTCAGGGGAGGGAGAAGGAGAAAGCAACCAGAAGAACTGAGACTACATAAAAGCAATACCATCTGTTCTCATATTGTCTCACAACTTTAAAAGGATGGCTCTATATGCTATCTCATTATTCCTGGGAAGACAGAATAATCATTATCAACTCATCTATTTTGAAATGAGGAAAGTAGGGCCTTGTGGGAGAAAGGGAATGAGGGAGCAGTTCAGTGTAGCATGTTTGATTTTGCTATTACAGAGGTACCAGCAGCGGGTGATTAAGAGCTCAAGAGTGACCATGGGAGCTGGTGGCCAAGGTGATGTGGAGGCCAAGGACTGAGGGACAAGGAACTCCCATAGCTACTGAAGTCACCAGGAGGATGGCAGGACAGGAGCTAGTGAGGATGACCATGAGCCAGGGGCTGCAATCTTTAATGCATAAGGAGCAATTGGGTGTCAGTGATGAGGAGGGGTTGAGGTGGGTATAGCTGGAGAGTACAGGAGAAAGAATTTTTGTACAAGGGTGGAAATGGCCAAGCCGACCCCACATCCTGGTTTTATAGTATATGGGGAGTGGAAAAATGAGAAGCCTTCTAGGAGAGGGCAGCAAAGGAGGCAGTACCTGGAGGATGCTCAGGCAAAGAAGTCATCTGAGTACTCTGAAGAAGTAGAGTGTATATGAGAGTTTGTTGACAAAAGAACAGGATTCTAGAAGGCACAGAGAAAAGGGCTGGCAGTGTGGTGGGCAGTGTGAGTGAAAGGGCTTGGCAAGAAGCTCAGAAGAGTAAGCGTCTGAGACAGAGGCCAGACAAGTAGAGGAGCTGTCAGCTTGGGTGGTTCCTAGGCTGGAGATGTACACTGTAGACAGGGTCATAATGGAACTTAGGGGGAAAATGGTTTTGGTATTTGACTTAGACGGCTAAGATCTGAGATGGGGGAGAAGTGTGAGGAAAGACGATTCTAGACCAAGCTGTCAGCTGGCTCCTGTGACCTCAGGAAGACTGGAAGTCCACATCAGCATTTGAGGGTGGGGCGTTAATTGCCTCCTGTATCTGCCTCCTCTGGTGGAAGTGGGACTTTCTAGGGCCAGGCCAGGCAAGAACATTTTCCTACTCCTGTTGACAGCCTCCTGGTAATGGGAAACCATTGAGAGATTTTCATTTGTTTGTTTTTTGACAGAGACTGGCTCTGTTCCCAGGCTGGAGCGCACTGCTGGAGTGCAGTGATCTTGGCTCACTGCAACTTCTGCCTCCTGGGTTCAAGTAGTTCTCCTGCCTCAGCCTCCCGAGTAGCTGGGACTACAGGCATGGGCCACCATGCCTGGCTAATTTTTGTATTTTTAGTAGAGTCGGGGTTTCACCATTTTGGCCAGGTTGGTCTTGAACTCTTGACCTCAAGTGATCTGCCCACCTCGGCCTCGCAAAGTGCTGGGATTACAGGCGTGAGCCACTGTGCCTGGCCAAGAGTTTTCTTAAACAAGGTTGATAGTAACATGGTGATATTTTTTAAAGGGTTGCTCAGGCTTGTGTCAAAATGATTTTGGTATCTGACTCAGAATGAGTGGGACCAGGAAATCTCATAGCTACTGAAGTCACCAGGAGGATGGCACAGAACAGGGGCTAGTGAGGATGACCATGAGCCAGGGGCTGCAATCTTTAATGCATAAGGAGCAATTGGGTGTCAGTGATGAGGAGGGGTGGAGGGTGGTATGACTGGAGAGCACAGGAGAAATAATTTTTGTACAAGGGTGGAAATGGCCATGCTGACACCACCTCTTGGTTTTATAGGATGAATTGGAGGGTGAAGGCAGGAATTAGGAAGCTGTTGCATTAGTCCAAGCAACAAGTGATGATGCCGGAGTCAGAACAAGGGCAATGGAGACACAGAGGCAGGGCAGGGATATGTTAAGGCGGTGGGATGTGGGGTGTGAAGGAAGCACAGATAGGGTAGAGGACAGCGTCCAGGTTTCTGGCTTCGTTTCCGCTTGTAGTCAGCCTCCCTCCCTGGGCTTTTGTGAAGACGGAACGATAGAACGGACCAGAAAGCAGTTTGGCAAAACTGTTACCCATCATTAGCTACAGTATCATCAAAGCTCTCTAATTACCCTAGTAAGTTCAGTCAATGGAACGAGGCATGACAATTAAGATAAATCACGATAGTCACCCAGATATGGGGGACCTGGAGGTCCTAAGTAACCTCGGATTCCTTACACCTGCTAGGCGTTGAGGGGCGGGGCGGGGCGAACACAGACTCCGCCCCTGGGCGGGGCCTGGACGCGGCCGGAGAAGAGCAGCGCTGGAGCTGGAGCCTCAGCCCTCAGGCGCCTCTGTGAAGACAGGACTGGACCCGACCCGCCCGCAGAGCCCCGCAGAGCCCTGCCCCGGCCCCCTCCGCTCCCTCCCGCCGCCAGGTCCTACTGTCCCGCCGACCTTACGGGAGCGAACCCGTCGTCCCGCACTCGGAGTCCGCGGTAAGGGGCGCGGCCCGGGCAGCCCGCCCGCGGAAGATCAGGGACCGATCCCCGGCGCGCGGCGCTGGGCACCGAGAGCGGGCGCCGAGAAGGAGCACGGGGCAGCGGAGGGGAGCCGGGGGAGGAGCGAGGGAGGGGGCTCCGCGGCGGCAGAGGTGGGGCTCGCCTAGGGAGGAAGCGCCGAGGGGGTCTCCCGGACCGTGGGGGCAGCCGGGGGAGCTCCAAGGGCGGGAGGGGAGCAAGAAAGACGGCGCTGGGGCTGGGAGGAGAGATGGGGGCAACTGGAGGGCAGCGAGGGATTGCGGGGGGGAAACGGGGGCGTGGGGGGCGAGGGAACTGCGAGGAGGGCGGAGAGGGGCTGTGCGGAAAGCGGGTACCGGGCAGCCGAGAGGCAGCGAACGGGGCGCTGAGGGAGAGGATTGAGGGGTGCTAGAGCGGGGGCGCGGTGGGAGGCGTGGAGGTGAGGAGCTGAGGGGAGGGGACTGGCTGGGCGGGGGTCGTTTGGAGCTGGAGGGGACTCAGGGGCCGAGGGGAAGGGGCGCTGGGCAGCTGGGGAGCATCCCTGGTGCCCTGGTCGGGAGAGGGTCAGAGGGTGGGGGATGTGGGTATGGATAGCTGGGATGGGGAAGGGCAGCAGGGCAGTGTCTGGTCGAAAAAGGGTCATTTATGGGGGATGTGGGTAGGGATAGCTGGGGTCAGAGGTGGAGCCCAGCTGCGGACCAGCGTGGGGATAACTGTAGATGGAAGGTGAGGGGTGGGGCTTGGGGGCGGGAAGCCTGGGAGAATGGAAGGGTGAGAGGCCAGGCTGGGTCTACCCAGCTGCAGAGGAAGGGGGCAGGGAGGTGGTGGAGACAGAGGGAAGTGGCCTTGGAAATGGACACAGGGGCCTATATTCTGGTCAGGAGTGGGGAGGAGGCTCTGGAATAGAGTAGGGTCTGGCGGCTGCGTGGAGGAATCGTGAGAGAACCCGGAGGGTATAGATAGGGTGGTGGAGCGCTGGGTCAGGCTGGAGAGGAGGTCAGGTGTGGGTTGTGGTGTAAGGGTGGAAAGATAATGGGGATTGAAGTGGGGCCCAGGCACTAGTGGTGTCTTGGCAGCTCAGGAGTCCAAAGAGGGGACCCAGGCACTGGACCTTGTTATATGGGCACCAGGGGTCACAGAAAATAAGAGAATCATGGACAGAAAAAGTCATTCAACTCTGTTCTGTAGTCCCAACGTGAAAGGAACTTTGGAGAGGGTAGAGCAGCAGCCTTTGGAAGCTAAGAGAGATGTGGAGGGGGTGGGAGAAAGATGGGCTCTCAAAAAAACAAAAAAAACCCCAAAAAACAAAAAACCACACACACACACACACACACACAAACAAAACAAAAAAAACCCAAACACAACAAGATGGGCCCTCTTCCCCCAGCTTCCTGGAATCCAGATGGAAAGGGGTGGGAGACAGTAAAAGGAGAGGGTGTGTGTGTGTGTGTGCGCACAGGTGGGTGCCCACCTGTTCTGTGCCTATAAACAGAGGAAGACAATGGAAGCTGTGAAAGTCCCTATATATAGAAGTGGAAAGCCCTGGTGCTGTGGGAGCCAGAGAAGAGGCATTCTTGGGGAGGTGGGTGGGTTGGAGAAGGCTTTCTGGTCATGAAGGATTTAGCTAGCAGTGGAGGAAAGTGTGTTCCTATCAGAGGAAACCGTATGGGAAAAGGCAAAAATCTAAAAGCATCTCCAGTCCAAGAAATAAATCTTCAGTTTCTTAAAGATTATGACATGAAGGGAAGCATCAGTAACCTATAGAAAATCTTTAAATAGGTTTCCCCTCTGAGCTTGCAGCTCCTAGAGTTTCTCTCCATCTCCCCAAAGTATAGCACAGGGCCTGGTACATAGTAGGTGCTTAGTGAATGTTGATGGAATGAATAATTGAGCTGTGGTGGTGCTCCTGCCTCAAGTTCTTCATCCGTTTCCAAGAATTGTTGTGAGAATCAAATAGTATAATGTAGGTGAAAAGAACTTTGTAAACTGTAAAACACTGTACAAAGAGAGAGGACACTGATGTTATTCTGCAGGTGTGCCTCCGTTCTGTCAGTGGACACACCCATGGCTATCTCTTTCCAATCTGGAGGAGGAAGGAAATGAATATCAAGCATCTGTTGTGTGCAAGATGGAATGCATTGAAAGCATCTTGTAGAATGCTTGACGTTTATTAGGTGCTCAATAAATGGTAGCTGTTATGATATTGTTTCTGTAGCTGTAAGATACCTGGGAAAACAATGAAAAGGTGGTGATGGGTTAGCAGTGAGGAATGATCTAAAGACAGACTGAATTAGAAAAGGAGAGTGTGGCTTAAAGGAGGAGGATGAGGTCCACATTTGCCCAACTCCCTCATTATTCTCACTGAAATGCTTCAAGTAGGAAGACAGGGAATTACATTTATTGAGCCCCTGTTATTGCATATACAGTTGACCTTTGAACAGCATGGGTTTGAACTGTGCAAGTCCACTTATACCCAATTTTCTTCTTCAACCAAACACTGATTTAAAAAAAAAAAAATACCATGGTGGGTCAAGCACAGTGGCTCGAACCTGTAATCCCAGCTACGTGGGAGGCTGAGATAGGAGGATCGCTAGAGCCCAGGAACTTGAAGCTACAGTGAGTTATGATCAGGCCACTGTACTCCATCCTGGGAAACAGAGTGACACCCATCTCTTAGAAGAAAAAGAGAAGAAAATACAGTAGTGAAGGGAGGCGAAGTCTGTATATTCAGAGGACCAACTTTTAGTCTAGGGGGGTTCCACTGGGCCAACTGTGGTTCTTGAGTAGGTGTGAATTTCAGTATAGGTGGAGGTCCTGGAGCCAATCCCTTGCCTATACCAAGAAATTACTGTACTATTCTAGGTGTATTACCCACATTACCTATAATTTTCCCAACAACACTTGTTTTATGAATGAAGAAACTGTCTTAATCTTGTAAAATTTCTTGCCAAGGTCTCATACGTAATAAATGATAGACCTGGAAGCTGAATCTAGTTTGTTTGATTTGGAACTCCAAACTATTTCCACTACTCAGGATGACTTGCTAGAAGAAACTATGAAGCACAGAGACAAACAAACAAAAAAATTAAGGGGTTAATAAAGCACCCTCCCATATACAGGTTTTAATTCTTGCAACAGTTTTGCCAGGAAGCCATTTTATGAACTCCTTTTATAGATGAGGAAACTGAGGCCAGGAGTGTGATTTGCTTACGTTTACAGGACCACTGAAAGAGCCAGGGCTTATCTTTCAAATGCCAGGTCACTTGGACTCAGGCTCATGCTCTTCCAACAAAAGGTAAGTTCCTTCATTCACTCCTTCACTCCATTTATTGAGCTGATCTCTTCTGGCTGGATTTTAGGGCTCTCTCCTTCTCTTCCCCTGCTCTTTCCTGGCTAAAGTTGGCTTCTTCCTTAGGTGCTTATTTCTGCTGCCTATCAGATTGAAAGGGTTATTTGTTTTTCACAGCCACCCTTTGAGGAGCCATTTCTTTCCCCCAGCCTGGGACAGGGATGACTTCCCAGATGGTCCCTGGGCCTTCATCTGTATTGCTTGTCACGGAGATAGCTCTATCATTTTATGTGACTGTCACAAAATAGAGGAAAGATTTGATTGATGCTTATCTTACAAATGCAATTCTGCACGCACCACTGTGCAGTGACCTGTCTGCTTAGATCTGCCTCAGGCGGCTGCCTGCTGGGATGCTTTTTGCCTGTCTTCCAAATGTCTGAGTAGCCCCTGGCCGCCCCCTCCTAAGAAGATCCCCTTGGGGGCTTCCATCTGAATGAGCCTTCCAACTGAACTCAGCTCTCTGCCTCTCCCCATTCTCACACCACCTACTGGGAAAGCCATGCTGCGTGTGCATAAGCAGATGCTGACGGTGTGGTATGGCAAGTACAGTATGGTAGCAAGACACTCAGGATGTTGGGGATGCTTCTTTTTTTAATTTTTATTTTTAGAGATAGGGTCTCACTCTGTCACCCAGGCTGGGATACAGTGGTGCAATCATAGCTCACTGTAACCTCGAACCCCTGAACTCAAGTGATTTTCCTGCCTCAGCCTCCCAAGTACTGAGGACTACAGGTGCACACTACCACATCCAGCTAATTTAAAATTTTTTTGGCTGGGTGTGGTGGCTCATGCCTGTAATCCCAGCACTTTGGAAGGCCGAGGCGGGTGGATCACAAGGTCAGGAGATTGAGACCATCCTGGCTAACATGGTGAAACCCCGTCTCTACTAAAAATACAAAAAATTAGCTGGGCGTGGTGGCAGACGCCTGTAGTCCCAGCTACTGAGGAGGCTGAGGCAGGAGAATGGTGTGAACCCAGGAGGTGGAGCTTGCAGTGAGCCTAGATCGCGCCACTGCACTCCAGCCTGGGCAACAGAGCGAGATTGTCTCCAAAAAAAAAAAAAAAAAAAAAAAAAAATTGTAGAAATGGAATCTCACTGTTTCCCAGGCTGGTTTTGAACTCCTGGCCTCAAGTGATTTTCCCACTTTGGCCCCCCAAAGTGTTGGGATTACAAGCATGAGCCACCATGCCCAGCCAGAATGCTTCTTTATTCACTCTAAAATTGTTATGGTTTTCATTTTCCTTAATCCCGTGAAACCTGGAAGCCATTAGGTAACAGAAGTTCCATTCATGACCCTCCAACTGACTTGCTGTGTGAGCTTGGACAAATCACTTGTCTTTGCAGGGCCTCTTTTTTTTTTTTTTACCTATAAGATAAATGGAGGTAGATCAGGAACTGAAACAATTTTTTACTCTTGCCATCACTCCCTAGTCTTATATCTGTGGCAGTCATAGCTAATAAAGGCAGACAAATTTCTCACTGATTCTACACAAGGCTACAAGTATTTTTCTCAGCACATACAATTCTCTTTTTTAAAATTCACAGCACCTTGTGAAAGTAGGTATTATTGTCAGATGAGGACACTGAGGCATAGAATTTAAGTAGGTTGGCCAAGTTTACACATTGAGT